CCTCTGAAATGAATATACTTACAATATGCCGATCAAATACGTTTATGCAGTGCTGTAAATACATACATAATTTTCTGTTTGCGTTTTCGTCATAATAGCAACAATTGAATAACATCCTTTTTCAGAATGAATGTAAATATATACAAAGGTATTTATATTCTATTAAATAAACCCTCCTCTTTCTTAGTATGCTTTGGCCAAATTATTTCCCTAATTACAAATATCTTTTAAAAATTAAAAACAAAACTTGGTCTTCCTACATTATTTTCTGATAACCAAAATGTCCCTTCACTGTTACTTTCCTTCTTGAAGCAGATGCCGCACGCTTGGCCGTTGTCCGACGTTTCATTCCATTTCCATATTAAAAACAACTTTCCTCCGGGAGCGTTCCATCGGTACATCCTTCCACCATTAAGTCTCTCCGAGCTCTCTCTCTCGTTTCTGAGTTCCATGCGTTCGTCTCTTGTCATTTCCTGCGCTAAATCTTTTCCAAACACGTTTCTGATTGGCTCTGTACGCGCATCTTGATCGCTCTCTCGAATGTCATCTCCGCTGTCATTGGTTACACTAACATTTACCTCTCAACTCTTTATTCATTGAACTACTCGGTTATTATACATTTTCTCGCGTATAACACTTTACACGGATACTGCTCACGTGTCCATGTTCTATGTGCCTATTCCACTCCCTATATTTCTCCCCACGACTGATTCTGCTGCGTTCCGTCTTGTTTATATTAATTATACACGGCGTATTTGCTCATGGGTTTTTTTGCCCCATAGTTAATATTTTTTCAAATAATAATTTGATCTCACTATCCTTGTAAATCATCACATACGCTAGGCAGATGATGCCCTCATTATCTATCATAGCGACGATATCGATTTGTTGGAAACGAAAGTGAACGAATCACTTTTTAAAGTAAAAGCTGGATTGACAGGAGACTCCTACATATGGTTGTGGAGACAACTGAAGCAATGTGAAGTACAGATCGGAGAGCAAAGCGTTCCCCAGATATTCGACTTGGGGTCGTGAGTACTAACTGGAGACGCCAAGACACGTATCTGGGAGTCGATATCGACCACAGACTCAGCTTTGGTCCGCACACTAACCAAACAATACATCGAAGACATGTTCCAACCTCTCCAAATTAATGCAAAATGTGGGGGGTCCAAAAGAGGCGAAGCCAACTACTGTATTCAGCTTCAATGTGGGCTGACAAACTCGTTAAAGCTCGCTTGAGATCGAAGTTTACAAAGGTTGATGCTGAGAATAGTGTTAGCCTACCGCACGGTCTGAGAGCACAGTAGGGGCACTGACTAGCGTACCTCCTGTAGACCAGTTGGCGAGAGAAATAAAAAGCGACCTACGACGAAAAGAAACCAACGTTCGCGACGGACCTCTGCGCAGGACGAAAGAGGACACCAGGAAGAGGGCACGGACGTCTCTCCTGGCAGAATGGCAAGTGAGGTGGGTCACAGAGCCAAAGGAAGGTGGACCTACGTGATGACACGTATGGATCCATATGTGAAGGTAAATGACGTTTTCCAAGTGCTCTCCAGACACGGCTGCTTAAAGTTGTCACCTCTTCGGGTTTCGTGACTAATCTCCGGGCTCCGGATTTACTATTTTCATCTCCGGGTCTCCTCCAAACTCTTTCCAAAATAGAAATTGAAGACTACACGACAGACATTATAAGGGTCAAAATTGTTTCTGCATCAGATTATTTGAAATAACTATCCAAAATTGTTAGCAGGGTTTGGTCCATTCCCGTAAGTAATGTTTACGTAGAACGGATTTTCTCAGTTATGGGAAACATTTGGTCCGATTTGAGAAACAGGATGAGAGTCTAATTAGTCAAAGCAGAACTCTTTACAAAACTGAACTATGATATGTCTTGCGCCGAATTTCACAAATTCATAAACAATAAGAAGCAAGTATGCTTACTAAAGAAAGCCGTTTCAAATAAGAAATATACTTGCAAGAAAAGTTACTTTTTAAAAATAAATATTACATAAAAGTAATATAGATATTATATTTTTAATGTAATCATTTATTATTTGTTTTATAGATTTTTGACTACGGAAATGTAATTTATTTGACTGTTTCTTGACTAATAAATTAAAAAAAGATGTGTAAATGTTAAATAAAACATACCCCCCCCCCCGCTCATGAAAATCTCCGGGTGAGTATGTGTCAACTCTATGGCTACTTTAAATCTTATCCGTTTGGACTTAAAAGAACAGTCGACCCCCAATATGAATTTTGTGGATTCAAAGACAGTGATGTCATGCATACAATATTTATATGCCCAGTATGTGATACTCAAGAAAAGAAAAAAAACATATCGAAGCCTTGGACATGGATATCCCCCCATCAAATATGGCGGAACTTATGCTCAAATCAAGTTAAGAGTAAATCAAAATACAAGAATTCTTCACTATCATCAAGAAACGAAGAAACCGATCTCTGTATTTAACTTGTGGTTATAGCCCAGCTATCCATCTGTCCATTAAGTAATGCCTCACATCAGTTTCCGTGGAGAGAGCCATGGGCACAAGAAGAGAGTTTTTACGTGTTTAAGACCATCTTTATCCCTGACAATTTCTTTTTATCTAAGACAATTTCCCCCTTGTCAAAAAAAAGTCATGTTAACTTTGAAACATTTCTTTCTCTCATATTTATTTGATCGATCTGACAAACAAAAAAAAAACCTTGTAAAAATATGGGAAACTTGTTCTAGAAAAATAGTGGCCATGCTGTATTCATTTTATTATTAATTTTTTTCATTCTCCTTGAATTAAAAATTTATTTACTAGTAAAATAAGTAATTTGTAAATAAAAAATTTAACAGAAAAAGGGATAGAAGTGCCCCCTCTTATTTAGACTGTGCACGCCTATGATCATGAGTGCTCAAGACACACATGCATTCTTAAACAATGAGTCTTGCAACCGTTTGGGGAAGTGGTGATGTTATTACTCTTTGTGGCAATTAATATTGCAGGAAATTCTTTAAATGCAGTGATAAATTTCTGAAGCCTCATGAAAGGTCTGTGATGTATACAATGTGCACATTATTATAATAAAATGGGCAATTAAATGCCAAACAATACTGTACTACTTCCTTAAAGAAAATCCATACTCCAATCTTGCTGGGATCAAATTGATCAATAATTTTGTGGACGAAATTGGAAATGCTCACAATGGCCCCCTTTCCACAGAGTATAGCTAATAAAATCATAACATTGCTAACAATTTTTTTCATTCTCTTCAATGTTGGGGATCAAATTCATCATTCACATTCAGCCCCTGAAGTCGTTATTGGGATGGTTAACAACAATTTCACAGACAGTATTCTCCAAGTTGTTTTATAAATTCATTCAAACAATACATACAGCTCCAATCATAGAACAATTTTTTTATTTTTATCAATTATTGACAATTATGTTTCTAGAACTGTAGTTCTTCAGAACACTTCAAAAATCACATTCAATTTCATACTGCAAAAACACTAATCATTGGGAAACCCTTGTTGAAATAAGTAGTTGCAATTAGATGTCCTGAGGACTTAAATATTTTTGAGACCAAGGCAAAATTTAAGTCATCTATTTCTGTAGCCTCTTTCCTAAGTTCTGAATTATCAACTTTTCTTCCCTCTGAATCATTGACACAGTTTTCGGGATCTTTTATGTTTTTCCTAATTTCATTAGCATTTCTCAAAATCATCAATATACTGTAGCGTCGTGCACAAACAGTGGCCATGTGTTCGCCGCGTGGCAGGCCGCTTGGGTTGCGGGCCCAGCGGCGACGCTTGCAGGGCCCCTTGTTCTTCCGAGGAGCCGAGCTGTGCGGATCAGAGGCAGCGCGCCGGGTGGGATGCGGACAGCGTCCGCGTAGGCTAGGGCCGGCAATATACTTTCAAAGTATTACTTTGTCGTGAAGTGGTGAGTGACTCAAGTGACGAGTCGTGTAGGAATTCTGCGGTGCTTCACTCGATCGGATTTATTCGATATTTAAATAGAGGATGTGGTAGCCGTAGAATGAAAATTGCTTCTAGTAGTGCGGTCGATTTATTTCTTTTATGTATCTATTGTAAATAAGGTTTATTTCGGTGGTGGATTCATAAATAAACTAGCAATAAGTTCAACCCACTCTCGTCTGTATTATTGCACCCTGCATGACGCCACAATACTGGTGTCATTGCAAACTTTTAATTTTCCTTCTCTTTTCCCTAACGCAAGTTAAACGACAATAAACTGAGCACTGAATTCATAATGTGAATGTTATAATTTGCTGAATTTAATTAACATTACACTTATAACAATCACAAAGGTCTATAGAAATAATCTAAAATAATCTATAGAAATAACAAGAATTAAAGAATTCTAGCTGGGCAGTGGCTGAATTTGCATAACCATTAACAAACCTCTGTTGCATTTGACAGTGCATTTCAAGATGTTTAGGAAACTTGGAAGATGTGCACTCATAAGTATTTGACCACAGCTCGGTTTGTCGGCATGACTGCAAACCTCACTGGCAGGAACAAACACAAGAACACCTTTAAACCTACTCGAACACTAAAAATGCTATTGAAGAAATGAATTCACTATCTATTCATCTAAAATAAACAGTGAATATAAGAATCAATGAAAGGAACGAAAGTGGTGGTTGCACAAACCTACAACTTAGGCACAATCTGCCGTTTGGTAATTGGGAATAAGACTTCATTGGCTAATTAAAATAATTCAGAGTACATTTGGCCAAGATAAAATGTACACTTTTGATGTTAAACAATTCATATGAATATGAATAAAATTAACACATGTTCAAGAAATGAAAATCAGAGAATGAAGTTTTGTTTCCAGGAAATCATTTTTCTGGAATAAATGGAGATATCATTGATTTCTTTCCCTTCCTTCTGATGACTGCATCTAGGACTTGGATAAATGCAAATCTGCTAAGGGGAATTTCATGAACAAAATTTTATGAACAGAAGTTGTTTGTAAAATAACTTATTTTAATATAATGTGTATACTAATAAAATAATTAACATTTATTCACATATTAGAACAAAAAATACAAATACAAGATAAAAGTATCTTAAAAATACAAACAAAAGTATGAAATTATTTGAAGAAACAATTTTAAATCATTTCCTCATTGGTCACTAAACCTATCCTGAGGTTTTGCTTTCAAACCATTTCCAATTGTAGAAGCAGAATAAACCCAAGTATATACAAGCAACAAAATTATATAAGGTCTCGTTGTAAACAAAACAGCACCAAACATTATTCTTATTACAGAAGTGGTAAAGAAATGATGATAATTTAGCACAGATAATGTGTTTCTAAATTGGTTTCTATTGTCCAAATTCTTACAAGCTATAGACTGAAATTTAATGAGTGGAATATTATCTTTCTCACTATAAAAGCTTTAATTGTGTCTAAATATTTTTCTACCATCAATAAATAATTTTAAGAGATTTTTAAACTGAAGAATTCTGAAATTTGCTCATGGTCAAAGTTAAATATTTGGAGTTGTTTTAATGGTTATGAGTGCAGGAAAATAAATTATAGACGTTTATTAAAAGAAACATGTTTAAATATTTATGTACCTTGTGCCAAAGACGACGATAAACAAGTGGAAGCAAAAATATACACAGCAAAAGAACACAGTTGACTAGTTGCAAGTCTCTCGTTATTTAAGAGAGCCTATATAAAAATATATTTAAGTACCCAGCCACTGTACTATTGATTAACGTAGTTAAATCAATATGAGCTCTATGTAAAATTATGGCTCGTGTAGGCACTACAGCACTGGGATCAATTCTGGTGTCAAAAAGAGACTAGGATCACAATTGTTGTGAACATGATAAATTGGTCAACTACAAGAGCACAATTCAAGGGCTCATTGCAATCTATAACCACAATATTGATACACTGGAATGTACTAGCTCAAACACATCCTACATTACTAAGAGCAAGTACACTGTAAATGTTAAAACACTTTCAGAAGACTGTATTAGGAGTACGTCACTTTTTGCAATAATGTAAATTGTCTTCATAGACACTAATTAAGTAGTAGGGGAAACATTTGTGCATAGCTGGAAATGATTCTTCTGGTGGGATAATTCGGCAGAGTCAGCTTTGCTGAACAGGGCAGTGGCAATGTCCATTGATTGTATCCTGTGCATTAGTGTGGCTAAATCCAAGTTTCTACACACTGCCCCTTCTCTGTCCTTTGAGCAAAGCATCATTTGCGTTTACGATCAGGGACTGGTTCACCAGATCCTCCATCTACTTCTACAACACAGCGGCGAGGAAACCAACCCCTCTGCCGAGGAGCTGTTTCATCATTAAGCAATCTTTCTCCAAACAACCAGTATCTGAAAAGAAAAATAGTCAGTAATCTCATACCTTTAAGTTCTTTTATCTCGCACTTGATCTTCCACAATGTAATGTAATTTGTTTCTTGAGGGTTAAGTGATCTAAGTTGAACAGAAACAATAACCTCCAAACTCTCACGCAAGTTCCTAACAAAAATGATACAATACAGGTATATTTTCTTGCTACTTTTTAGGCATTTAATGGCAATAAAAGGAAATAAGGAAAGGGATTCTACAATTTGGATCATAATTTCAATAATTGTTAATGATCAAGACACGATTTCATGGTCTTTGGAGACAATAGCAAATACAGTTACATTGACACACATTGATTACATAAAACATAAGACAAGAAGACATTAAAACATTAGTTAAGAAAAAGTGAACATTGAAGCACCATCTGAATTAGATGCCAATGTAGCAAACAAATGCTTTAAAAAAATCCGAACACATAGTCTCAAAAGACACCTTGAACTAGCTCCAAATGAGTCTTCCCAAATTTTTATTTCAAAGGTGAATATTTACATCTCAATAAAGGAATTTAATTCGTGTTGTAGACTAAACAACATAATACAATCTCAAAGAGGGCAGTGGAACAAGCTAGGCAAAAGTGCTCCAAGGGATAAAAATACTTGACCTATGTTGAAAATCATTTTTGAGGTGTACAAAAAACAAAAAGTTTTGTGCTGGATGTAAATCAGTTTGCATGGAGTACTTCATACAAATGAAAAAAAAACTATTTTTTAGCTTCTTATATCAATTTAATTCACAATTTTCTTTCACAACATTACACCTACGAATATTGAATTTAATAATTCTTGCAATTTTCTATAAATTATAAAGATGTTTCGGGAATTTTTTCAGACGTTTATATCGCAATTTTGACCTTTATACTCAACAAAAAAAAAGAAGGGAAAGAAAGTAATAAACTTGTGTTTGTATACTTTATTGCCTACACTTGTTGCTTTGATTTGACAGTTTAATAAAACACTAATTGTTGTTTCTCCATTTTGCATGTGTATACGTTTATGCATGCATGTGTTTTGCATGGAAACAATGCAAAGGTTCAATAAACAGCTACTTTCAAATTAACTGTGTTCTGCAACATGATTTCCTTTCGGTATTCAAATGTTCATCGCTGCAAAAATGAGCTTTTGAAGGAACATTAATTAGTTCAAATTATTTTGAAAATTGTATGTCTTTTTACTTTTAAATTCAGAATTATTATAGTACATCTCTTTGTTTTTTTAGACAGACTAGATTTTAAATAAATTATGTTCAGACCAAAAGAAAACTGAAGGAAAGAATAGGTGAACATAGACATAACATTAAGGAAATTAATGAAAGTCGGAATTCCTATAATTTTGGCTTTAGAACCATGGAAGAATTCAAGGTTTGTTCTTGAAACTTTGTTTATAAAGACTAATAAATCATTAAATTCAATGACAGAGTCAAATCAATATTGTTAATTGATTACAAAACAAATTTTCAAATTAATAGAACTATTTTTTATAAATGCCATCCCCTCCTTTTTCTAACAAAATTCCTACTCCAGCCATTCCAGCATTTGCAATGGGAACGGTTCACAAATTTCTACTCATCCTAAGTATATGGGAGGTTTACAGTGCTGACTTTGAGGTAAACTTTTATGATTCTCAAATGTGATGTGAATTGTCTTCAGTTTTCTTTTGCATTCAAGGTGAGAAAAAACAGATATATTAATAATTTTTACTATAATTAAAATCATCCAGACCCTTAATTGATTCATTTGTTCATGTGTAGATCTAATTTTACTACAGGTTGATTTGATTGTCAGATAATTTAAGGCATTGTAAATTGTAATTAAATCTTAATTATATAGTATTAGCATTATTTATAATTATGTAATACATTATTTCAGATGTACCTGAAGATCAGACAATACCGCAACTTGGAACGTTTACTGTTAATAGATTTTTAATAAAAAAGTAATTTATGAACATGAATGACTTATGACTAAATAATTTATTTAAAAGCTAGCCTGCCTAAAAAAGAAAGAAGTGTACTATACCATAATTAATTAGTTCACTTTTTAAAAGCATGAGAAACAATATTTTTTTATATAGCGAGAGGTTTTTGAAAAGGCATTTCAATAAATACTATTTCCAAATCTTGTTTGGCCTATACTCTGCAAAATGGAGCATCGTCATTCATTGAGATGATGGTTTTGATATCAATAGATATTCTGACAGTTCCGCCAGGCATTTCTGCATCATACAGCTTTTTGGATCTTGTAATACAGATGACATGCATAGAGGTAGATGTAAATATGCATATTGCAATGAAGAATCAAATTACTTGTTTCCAAAATCTGTGGTCTACATAAAAAAAATGGGTAACTGCATTTTGTAGTGACACTAATTAATACATGTGGTGAGGAATATTTTAACAATTAAAAAAAAAAAATTAATATTATTTGCAACATTGCACTATTTTGTTTATAAACTCATTATTTTTAGTTAAAATATTAGTTTGTTCAATATTCAAATTACAATAGGTTATAATACTATTCTTACAATTTTGTTTTTCATTATTTACCTTTTCAAAAACGATAAAATAAAACCAAAATAGAAAAAGCTATGAATACTAATAAACCTAATTAAAAAAATTAAATTTCTTTTTTAAAAATATTGATCAAGTGCAAATTATAAGATAACTGGTTGACATTTTGGGAAACTGTAGAGAATTTACAGGGAGGTATTAAGTCGGTAATTAAGGGATAAGTTAGCCCTTATCAGCTTCTGAACACAAGATATTCTAAAAAAAAACAAAGGAAAAAAGAGTTTTTTTCTTTTCTTTTCCCCCTTTCTTTTTTGTTTAAGGGCCAAATTCATTATATAAATTCCTGAAATTTTTTTCGTAACATTCTTATAGACTCTGCAAGAATGATTACATTCAATATTAACAGGTATAATGTGGTTAAAAAATTTAAACTGAAACAAGAAGCTAAAAAACACATTTTATTTTTTTTTTATTTGTGGAAATTACTTTTGGCAAACTGATTTAAATCTAGAAATAAACTTGTTTTACACTTCAAATGATTATCAACACAAAAATTTGTATCACAGAGGGCACTTTTGCTTATCTTATTCTGCAACTTTTTAGTAAAATTGAACATCCCAATAAAACAAAATTCTATTAACTAATTTAAAATGTATATTTCAGAAATACTTGAGACGTCAAAATACAATAATAATAAATTACAGAGTTAGTGAGTTCTAATGTTGCCAGTACTTACCTCCTCCATCGTGTAACCATTACATTATCACCACGATGAAGACGAATGCGTGGTTCATCAGTAAATGGAGGATGACACAACACTCTCCAACCCTGGGTAATGGGGACCCATGATCCTGAGTAATCTGATATGGCTTGATATGGTCGAGCTCGAACTCGTTTTTCTGCTTTTTGTTCCTGCTGTTCCCTCTGTGAACAAAGGGTCAGTTTTGCAGAGCTATGTACAATGGCGATAATGACTCAAGATTTCTTGCAGTTGGCTTTTATAAACATATGGCTAAAAACCATTCTCAATAAACAAATTAAGGCTAGGGGACTTTCCCTTATTAGAGAATTTATACTCTGAAAATCGAACTTCATTCAATTGTGCTGGATAGTTTTAGTTGCAAATATTACCCAAATAAAATCGTAGGTAAAACTAGTGAGGCTAAAACAGCAAGTTTTACAAGCAAAGTACGCAAATTTTCGAAATATTGCACATGGCCTTATTTCAAAAATCTATCTTCAAGAAACACGTAATTTATGAAAATAATGTATACGTTCATAAATGTCCGTTTCCGCGCTTTGAAGTTATGCAATTCTCAAAAACTCAGTTTTTCACGAAAATGAGACGTGCGCCATTCTCTTAAACGCCCTATCCAACAAAATTTAATCAAAAACGATGTAGTCATTTTTTTAACGTCCCAGGGCTTCATGTAAAGCACCCCCCCCCCAAAAAAAAAAAATTAAAATACAGGTTTCGAATTAACGGGGCGGCGACATCAGATCGATCCGGGAATATACATTTTGGAGAAAATCGGCTGAACGACTTAGTCATTAGACGAATTATTGACGAATGGTTTTGCCGTCATTCAATTTTTCGGCATCAAGGACCCACAAAACATGTATTCCAGCTACTCCAAGTGTTGGAGATTTTTCTCTCTAAATTTAGCAACTGGATTTCTCCACTTTTTCATTACCAGAGCCCAGTAGTAAAGTTTTTCTGGCGAGAATTCGTTTTTCGCGCAGCATTACACAACTAAGTAGGGGAAACTGTTGTACTTAGGAACAAAGCATGTTTTCAAGGACTCTGTGAGAGAAATTTAGGATTGTTATTTTTCCTACATTGCTATTGCTATCTGTGTTTCACGTGAACGCTTTTGAAGTATGACGAGCTGTTTACGTATTTTTGCATTTCGCTTTCATCACTTTGAAATAACTACTTTTACTATGAGGGGCCGTCTATAAATTACGTAACACAAATTCGGAGTATTTTGAATAGCCCCTCTCCCCCTGGAACGCTCCCCCCTTATAAATGCAAGAAGTGAAAATAAATTATAGCCAAGTAGAAAAATTGTATTCACTTTATTTGTGCTGTGTATTAAAATTTATGATAATTTAAGTCGGAATTAATTGTCGATGGGGACTGCAACTAACAATAAGATTGAGGACAAATTTTGCGTGAAGGAAGGACGCACAGGCAAGAATCTACTGCGCCAATTTAATTGTATTTTACAAAATACTACAGATCAGTTTTGAATATTTTCTTTGAAATCTTACAGATTCAATACAAAATTGATGAAAAACTATTTTCATTTATTGTAAGAACTTCTAATAACTTTAAATTATTTGTTTTAAAACATTGTATTTCAATTAATTGTAAATAAGGTGTTTAAAAATATCAATGTTTCGTAACACTAATCGAAAACCCCTGCCCCTAAGTAACGCAGCGTAACGCTGCCTCAACCTACCCCCTCTTTCTTAGAGTTACATAGTACAACACACGAAAAATTCAGTAAACATACACTTACTAGCATATAATGTAATTAATTGAAGGTGTATATTTCATTCCTACAGATACCGTACAAGCAACACTAGCTATGTTCATTATTGATTGCAGATTGTTGTACCTAGAGGCAGTGACTGTTGATGTACCTGGGTAACTAAGTGCAGAATTAAATTGAATTCATTTGGTTTCAGGATGTAATCTGCCCATGCCACAAAGCAAAGAAAACAACTTGTGGTGTTAAAAGAGCACATACTTACGCAAAATTACGTAAAAAGTAGTTAAATTTTCGAAACTGTGCATGGCCTTATTTCAAAATCAATCTTTACAGAACAGATTTCATTAAGGGAAACAATCTCTATCTTAAATATTTTAGTTGTAGAAAGACTCAGAACAAATTTTTAACTTTTGTATTTTCGAAAATCAGTGTTCTACGAACATTAGACCTGAACCATTCTCTTAAATGTTTTCACACTAACTACACAATTTAATCGAAAATGATGGGGACAATTTTTTTCAAAATTTGGGAAATGTCCCTGAGGCTTTATGAAACGTACCCCTCTAAAATTAAAATATGGGCCGTGACATCAGCCAGATCGATTGGGGAATATGTATTTTAGAGAAAATCCGCTGAACGGTAGCGTTACAATAACAGACGAATGAAGTTCAGCATATCGCTTTAACTCATCAGGGATTTCAAGAAGGATCGGATTGATTGTTCCCACTACTGTGTGAACTCTTTGAGCTTTATGGCAAGTTGAAAAGATGTGAAAAATTTGTCAGTGGTCACGTTTCTTCCTTAGTTTAGAAATGGCTCCATAAGATGCAGAACAACAAATTCACTTAAAAGTTGTTTATTTGGTCGAACATCCTCCTCGTTGTCAATATAGGAAATGTATATACATATGTACTTTGTTGACACATCAGTTGCACCCAAAATTTCAGTCCATATTTGTCGGGTTTGTTTAGCATAAACTGGGTATTTGCATCTAGTTTTACTCAAAAGTAAGTGTTCATCAACTGTTACATTTTGGCGATGGCTTGAGCGATGGCAATGAATGCAGTTTTCTACAAGCCTCTCCCAAATTTCTGACATTAGAGCAAACTTATCAGCAGGGGTTGATTTGTCATCAAAACTGAGAAATCTGAGAAACTCATGAAACCTGTCTTCTGGCAAGTGTCCTTCATGAATTTTGGTCCCCATAACGAGACTAAAGATCATCCACCCTTTGCCCAAAATGCTCCTCATGGGTACATGTTGCAGATTAATGCCTTCAACTCTTCCAGAGACATGGTCCTGTTGTTGTTTTTCAGTTCATTTCCTGCTTCTGATTCATTGAAGCATTGGTTCATCAAATAGCAAACAGAAGGAACTTATCACAGATCCATTCGTTCGCTGGCACGCCTACGAAATGGGACCACCTTGTTCTTTCAAGACATTCACAGCTCCTCTTCTTCCAGCTGACGAGGAGTGCTGATAGAAACATCTCTGGCAACCAACTGTTAGGGCATTTGGCTGTTCCTGTTGAGATGATCAAGGAGAAGATTCACTACATTAACTATCGCATCTTCTTCCGCTGATAGTTCATAACTCAAACTACTGGTTTCATCCTAACCATTCATTGCCACAAAATCTGCATCTGAAGCTGCTACATCATTTCCTGACTCAAAATTCAAATATTCTAGCATATAGGAAAACTTGTCAGCAGAGAGACTAATTAAATTTGACATGAGAGCACACGCTACAACAGTTTGATAAGGAAACTAAAATGAGAATAGAAAACTGAAAGAAATATATTACAGATCGATACTCCTTGAAATTTGCATTTGTTTCATTCTTTACTTTCTGGGAAGGGATGATTACTTTTACACTCGTCAAATCAAGCAAGGGAACAATTATCGCCTCTAAATTCAGAGTAAACTGTATGACAATAGATAACCATCCCTAGAAGAAGGGATGTCTTCCGAGATTGCAATACTGTAGTATCTTCAAGATAATGAAATGTTTAGACTGAACCAACATTGATCAAGTTCAGTATATGGCAGTTTTAAAATGAAATAATAAGGATGCCAAAATGACTCCTCCCTCTGTTTGAGGGATATCACATGATAAAACAATAAAAACAATATTTTATATATTCCAACTATATCATCACAAAGGAATAAAAAATGAGAAAAAGTCGCAATGTTTGAAAGAAAACTCTTAAAAACAGAATTTAGTATTGAAGAAACATCTGATGTAGGTGTTATTTTGACCCCTGCCACCGTTCTTGTGTTAAGCAACACGAAGAAAAGTTCAGAAATAATTTGGACAATCTGATATTGCACATGCAAATCCTTTACAATGATTGTGTTTGAAGAAGACAGAATGTTTTTACATTGGTAGAGAGAGCCAGGATGTCAAGGCTATCTTGCAGGAGTAGACCAAATAATTCGCAGATAAAGAAGAAAGGGCAAGGCAAAGAGCATTGCAAGGAGAAAGAAAGAGAAATAACAGTGAACAGTGTCTACATCTGTTCCTCTTTCATTGTCTGAAGATTCAGATAACAAACTTACAAGTTCAGATGAAATTGAAGTTATTGAATGTTTTAGGAGAGACGTCTTAGAGTACATCAATACAGAATACAGCACAGCGTGACACCAAAAATGTCGTTACTTCTAGTGGTTGCTTTAGATACATGTCAGCTGAGTGTAAGAGATTCAACATACATCCTTCTGGCTAAAGCAGAAGCACTTGGCCACAATTCCTGAAAAACTCTATATTAATAAAAAAAACAACATTGTTTAAAGAATGAAAATATATTAAATTGTAATACAAAATTATATATTAAACATGTGTTAATATTTTTCCACTGACTTAAAACAACGAATTCAATAATTCCTAAAATTCAAATTTCAAACTGAACTCGGCACGGGTTAATATCAGCCTATTGAGAGGAAATTTTATTTTTGAGTAAATTTGTCCATATAGAGAATATTTAGGGTATAAACCCCAAAAAATTGGATTGGGGGGGGGGGGATAAGGGACACCTTAATCCAGCATATCTGGCAATATTCTGAAGAAAATTATTGACTATATAGTCAATAATTCCATCAGAGCTACTCTCCTTTTGAATGAACAAGTGCTTGAGGGAAGGGATCTATTAAAATCCAATTAAATTTTCAAAAATGGTACCAATATATGAAAAGGGAAACAAACTATATAACAAGTTACAGACCTGTACCTAAATCCCTATAGTTTTGAAAGCCCTTGAATAAGTAATGCACTCATAATCAAGCACCTGTCTTGATCATTGTAATGATGTAATGATTGATGCACAATTTGGGTTAAGTACAGGGCAACAATTGACTTCATCTGCTACAGCCCATTGTTACTTTAAAGTAAAAAATTAACTATTTTACATCTATTTTCCATCAATGAAGTTTAGACCCCTTGCAACTTAAATGTGACATCTCCGGAGGTTCCAATCTTGGACCTTTGCTATTTTTGCTGATTATTAATAATCTACCTACTTTTGTATCCACACACTCAATTCTATATGATGATACCACATACAGCATATTACTAAAGATTCAGATCTTCAAGCACTCAAAAAACTTTAACAAAAGACACTTTGTACCGAGCTGATCAGTGGTTCACAATTAATGCTTAGTTATTGAATGAAAGTAAAATAAAAACAAATAAGCTTTAGCCTAAGAGATGATAATCCTGTTAAAGTGAAATTTTTAGTCACAGTGGTAGATAACAAATTATTTTGGAAAGAAAGAAAAAGAAATAAAGAAGAAAAAAATGTACACTTTCAATTGCATCTATTACATAAATAATATTTTTTTAAATACGTCATTTGGTTTTTAAATTCATAATTAATCATGGATTGTCTAAGTATAGAAAATGTCTAATTATGAAAATGGCTCTCTTTAATCTCCTCTCCTTGAGTATAATTAAATGCATCAGCAATTATATTTTTTTCAGAGTTTAACTTTCTGAAATTTATTTGAATATGGTTGGTATCAGAGTAATGTTTAAATGATGAACCTTTTCTCAAGTTAATTTAAAGTTTTAACTTCAAAGTTTTTCTAAGCAACTTCATTCCACTGGCTCTCTCATTTATATTGCAACCAACTTTTAGTATTTTAAACTTGTTATACTTGCACACTTTAAGTAGGAAAATTGAATGAAAAATGATAATTACTTCTGCACAATGAGCATACTAAAACATTTCGTCTTGATTGCAGTGTCAGTCAAATGAAACAATTGGAAATTGATGTCGACATTTCATACTGTAAATTCACTAAATCTTATTATAAAATGCCTCACACTTTGTTTTTGGAGAGATTCATTTCAATTTTACTGTACACTTTATTATCACTATTTGTTACATTTTTAGGGGCTACAAGAAAAAAGATCATTCCACATCAGTACATCTGTCAGGTTAATCCGCTAAGATTAATCCACACATCTACGATATTTTTGCATGCTTTAAATATGTGCTTACTGTAAGGCTGTATTGATCGCAACCTGCACGAACTGGCCACTCAATACCATCACCAGCAGGAGTACAAGAGAGGTTGATAACCTGTGAATAATTCAGATAACATCAGTGTTTTAAACACTCAATACAGTGATTTCAGTAATTTCTCTCACAATAATCTTAAAAGCTCAGTCTTACCTGAATAAAATTCTTTTTCCATCCAAGATTGTAAGGATAAATGAAAACTGAGTCAGAGCCTAGACGACGATGTTTTGCTTTCTCAACAATCCAGTCTTCTATACCAGTCTGGTTTCTTAAAATAGCTCTCATCTGAAAATTTCAAATAATACAATTTTTATATTATTTTCTTAAATGAACATTAAAATCTAAACAAAATGTTAATAGTCATATAAAGAAAAACAAACAAATCAGATAACTGAAATGAAACTCAATTTGCGAACTTGACAGAACAGCACTTGGCTAAATAATAATCTTAACAGCACATAATAGAAAACTTTTTTTTTTAAATGCTCAAGTTCAAATAAAAATGAGTTTTAAGTATCAAACAATTTTGCAGATTACAGAATTAAAAAATGAAAAGAGATTTTACATTAATGTCAATATGCATGGCATTATTTCTAGAATTCGTACTGGAACATGCAATCAAGGAGTTTTATCATCCAGACAAATGAATAATTAAATTTCTTTCAACATTTTTTTTGCACAAGAAAAACACACATTTCGATGAAAAGGATGAAATTAGTTTTGCTGTTTAAAATTACCTGGAAGTAAAGTAACATGCCAACTGCCAGCACCACTCCAATGGAAAGTCCCAAACAGAATACACAAAAGGCAAGTGTGGACATACTGAGGTAGACAATAGGCTCATGGCCAGTTCCATAATACAGATACCACACACGATTAATGGCACGATACAGAGAGCATGAGAGAACCACACTTGCTTGCAGGCAGCCACAAACAGCAAAAAAGAGGAAGAGAGTGAAATGTGTGTGATTTAGGTGACCCACACAATTGTTGATCCATGGACAGTGATGATCCATTTTCATTACACATCGTTTGCCTGAAACAAATAACATGGGCTGTTTTAAGAAAATATATCATTATGAAATGATGACTGTGACTTTTCCAGTGACAGAACGACAAACCATCAATTGTGCAGGTGTTTAAGAAAGATGAGCATAAATACTTTCATATTTACTAATAATTGTTTATAATGTCTGAAACGTAAAAGTCAATTGTTAATTTTTAAAATGAAACTATGATACTCTTGTAAACCTCTACATTTGTCCGATACAGTTTAGCACAACACTCTTTTCAAAAATACAAAACCTACATTTGCGACAGTGATGAGAGCGAGGAGCTTTATATCCCTCGCATGTGTTACAGTATTGTAGGAATTCTTCTGCTTCTTCTTTTTCCTGTTAGAAAAATTGTATCTTTGAATTAATTTTTTCCTTATACTTTGTGGTGAATAGTCCGTAGAATATAAATTATTTTACCGGTCTCCAATGTAGAGGCAAGTATCCAGGACCCTCGAATATTGCATTGAGAAAATTGTAAAGAGTCAGAAGACTGAATACTAAGAATATCCCAGAATTGAGACAACCACCAATAGTATCAGTTGGTGGCCACCACATACTACTACAATGAACTGTCATAAATGTGACACATTTAATAATACCTGCAAAATGACAATAAATTAGAATGTCAGTAGATTGAAAATTGGCTTTAGCCACAAATCCCTGTCACCACACAGGATGTCATTTGTAAACAAATCCTTCAGTTATATATTGTTTACTATTGGACAGGATATGTCAGATTGAAATATAACGACAATATTACATTATTTCACAAACCTAAAGCTGTGAGCGGTCCCCAGTGACAGATCCGTCTCACTGGAACCCAAAACATGGTGAGTGCAATCGTTACGTTCATTCATGCAAGGAAGCTTCGGATTTCACAGGAACCTAATACGTTTGAGAATTGAGGGAAATTAAGTGCGTAGCTGCTGCGTACATCACTTTTTGTCATTCTTGTTTTCACGTAACGAACTGAATGTTCTGCATCGTCCCGGGAAGCACTGCTAAGAAATGGGCGCCGCCATTATATGTATACTACAAACAAAATATATTGCACAACGATATCTGCATGTAATACTAAGCAACATGAAAACATAGTTCTTCTGGGGATATTTTGGCGAGTGGACTGTGGAAGAATATGAAAATATTCTTCTTTGAGAGCACAAACATAACTATTGATGTTAACGTCACTGACGGATCCAGAAGGGAGCATCCCCCCCTCAAAGGCCAAGAGATCTTTCTTTAGCGAATTTGATTTAATTATTTATGTATGTTTAATTATTTAATTATGTAATTATTTAAACAATAATATTTTATATAATCATATCTGCTGCACATAAATAATACACAATATATACAAATAATACACAAGTATGTTTATTACGTTTACAAAAACATATGCCCCCCTCCCCCATGATCGTCTGGAGCCGCTCCAGGTCCACGTGCATATTACGCACGGCCAGTGCCAGGTTACCACATAAGCTGGCTAAGCAATTGCTTAACCCCCCCCCC